TATCATTTAATAACAGGGTACTATCAATTTTATAGTCTTTGTTTATATGCCCGGTATATGTGTTTAAAACAGCACCATTTTGTTTATCAATTAAACGTATTTTGCTATCCAAAGTTGAGGCTAGAATACACTGACCATCATTAGTAAACGAAACACTTGTAACTGGATCAGCCATACAATCCTCTGTAAGTTTACCTTGCCGTAGATCATATAAACGAACATAGCCATCTACTGATCTAAATAAAATAAGTTGAGTAATATTAAAAGAAAAAAAAGGTGTTATTTTGCCTTGTTTTATTATCCTTTTTATATTTATTCCTTTTACATATTATTCCATTAGTATTTAACAAATTTAATAATTATTTATGTATAAATTTTTGTCATTAGTTTTTTTAAAATAAAAAAAAAAAACTAAATTCTTATTGGTTTAATTATTTATTCACATAATAAAAGTATAAAAAATACAAATATATATATATATATATATATATATATATATATATATATATATATATATATATATATATATATATATTCAGTATTCAGGGGCTATTCTAGACCATTTTTGACAGCGTCAGCCATATTTGGGCATTGCCCAAATTAAAAATTAAGGCCCTTTTTTGTTTTTTGCTTTTTGCGTTTTTTACGTTAAATATTGTTTTTTTTACAAAAAAAACTCCCATATTCAGCAATACTTATGTTAAATTTTTATAAAAAAAGCTTTTTTTAAAAAAAAAAGCATTATTCATAAAAGTTGAACAAATGAACAAAAATATTTTTTGTTGCAATTTAAAATAAAACTTTTTTTGGCAAGCACTTTTTTATGCATTTGCTAAACTTTTTACAGGCGTGTGGGCAAGTGCAAAAAGACTTGAGCATAAAAGCGCTGGCTAAACAGAGAAGACTGATATATATATATATATATATACATATATATATATATATATATATGTATATGTATATATATAATATACATATATATATATATAATATACATATATATATAATATACATATATAAATGTATATATATAATATACATATATATATATATATAAATGTATATATATAATATACATTTATATATGTATACATTTCATTATATATATATATATATATATATATATATATATATATTTAAAAAATATATATATGTATATTATATATACATATATATATATATATATATATATATATATATATATATATATATATATATATATATATATATATATATATATATATATCAGGGCTCGAATTAAGCATATCGCGATTGCTTTTTACACCTTCGCGATTAGTTTTTTCTTAAAACATATATTTTCACAATTGGTTTACTTTTTTAGTTGTTTATTTATTATTTTTCTAATTTAGCTTTTTTTTTTGGCAATTCTTAAAAGTAATTTTTTCATAGTAAAATACGTCACGCAAAGTTTGTCTTATGAATAGAAGCATAATCATTTGCTTTTGAATAGAAGCATGATCATTTGCTCTTTTGCGCGGAGATTTTTATTCAAGGTAAAGCACTTTTTAATTTAAACTACTTTAAATCTCTGCATAGAAGCAAATTAAAAAGACAAAAGTTAAAAATAATTTTTTCTTCATTCTATTTTTTTAACAAAACAGCATTTGTATCTTTTTTTTAAAGAAACGTTGCTCCAAATTAACTTAATAATAATGATTTAAATTATTATTTTATAAACAGTTTTATATAATTATTTTTACTACTTTAAGTATAATAAAATATATATAAATTCGTTTTTATTAAATAAAATTTCTATTAGTAAAATGGTGCTAAAAGAAACCAGCAACTTTTTTGCTTTCATGTTTTTCGCTTTAACGACTTTGAAACTATTGAAGTTATATTTAGTTAACATTACTGAATGGATAGAGTATATCACAGTAAATTAACTTATAACCTAAATCAAAACAACCAGTTAAGTTAAGATAGTAACTTACAGTTACTATCTTAATCATACATTTTGTTTACACATAATATAAGCTCTTAACTAATAATTATTTTAACAAAAATTGTCGAATAGAATATGAAAAACGCGACACCATTTTTTTATATTTTCATTTTATTTATAGCGATATCTAGACTAAACATTTTCTATAAATACGCAATTGTTTTCAGGAATTTTATTTAAAAAAAATCAATTTAACAAGAGAACTTTAGCCTTAAAATTCACTTATTCAAATAATTTTGTGATTGAAATTTGAAATTTAAAAAAAATTTAAAAATTTAAAAAAAGTTTGATGAAACAAGGGAGAAAAAATGAAAGCTTTTTTTTTGTTAAACCGTAAATTTTTTTAATGTTTTGAATTATATTTTTTCTTGAATAAAAAAATATGAAGTTTTGTTTTAGTTTATTAACTAGATCAATTTTATTTATTTGCTTCCTTTTATTTTAAACGCGTTTTATTTTATAAATTGTATAAATCAACACGAAACAGCGTCACGAATTTGTTTTACATTAACCCAAGCTCTTTATATTTTTAAAACAACTTTGCAATTTGTTTTAATGTTGTTTTATAGCTTTTAACAATTAAATACTTTTTAAAATTAATATTTAAATATGAGAGATGATATATTAAAAGTAGAACAATTACATACAAAAGTTACAACTATATACTAACGCAACTTCCCCTCCCCCCATTACTGCAAAGAAGCGTATACATTTATTGAATTAAAAATAGTAGTAGTTTAGTAGTTAGTTCAATAATTTTCTACTATTATATAAATTGCATAATAGCATAATAATGCTAACTTTTCACAGTTCAGTCTAGAGTAATAAGTAACAAATCAAAACCAAAGATCAGCTAAATGCATTTTTTTTCATCAAGAGCTTGAAAGAGTGTCTTTACAGAGTTAAACCTAAAATTATTAAAGCCATTTAAGAATCACTGAGATCCAGACAATAATCTTAAAAAATAATAATTTGTATTATTTTGTCAGGTCATAAGAACAATAAATAAAATCCAAACTGTTAGAATTTGTGAAATCAGAATTATTCTTTATAATTTTGAAAGGTACAAGTCATTTTAAAGTTTCGCCATCTCTAAAAATTTAATTGAAAATTATCTCAAAATAATCATATAACTATATCTTTAATTCATTATTTATTTATTTTTTTTAAATTAATTATCAAATTAATCATTTAATTTTAAAAACATCTTTTTTTTAAAATAGGTATGAGTTGTAGACTTTAAAATGTGGGCAACTTACTAAACATAAAAGTTTTTTTTTATGTTTTTTTTGCACGAAATGGTAAAGCTTCAATTTTACTATATTTGAATGTTGTAAATTTTCAACTTTATTCCCTTAAAGTGGAAGATAAACTATGTAGTGAGAATTGATCTTCTCAGACTGTAATTTGCATTTAAAATGAAATAAAATTAAAAATGTATTTCCATAAAAAATTTTCACAAAATATTTATAGCATGTTTTGCTTGAATCTTTATAAACAAATCACTCAATATACAATCATACCACGTGTAGCAGCCTACAATGTTTGATCAGAACAATTGTTCTTATTCACTTAACCACAGCAAAATAACTTTACTAGTGTTATCAGTTGCTAATGCAGAGAAAGAATATTTATTTTAATCAGGCTAGTAGTTTTCATCACGGGATTGCATTTCGAAATTCGAACAGTGCATTTCCAAGAGAGCAAGTATGATGTCAACCATTTTTGTGCAATACCTGTGACAATAATTCATATAAAAGCAATTAACAGGAGGGATTGCATTTCGAAATTCAAGAATTCGAGAATTCGTTTTCATAATATAGTTTCAAATTCCAAAAATTTTTCCAATGAACTCCGAAATTAAAATTTATTTTTGTGCTCTCTAACTTTTAAATTGTGTTTTTTTTTCTGTACATATAAATATTCTACATTCTAATTCTATATGAAGAAATAAAGAAAACAATTGTAAATTACAGTTATCCTGCATAATACAAGTAGACATAAAGAAAACATTTCTAAATTGCAGTTAACGGTTTCATCTCTTCATTTCACATCTACATGTAATAATATGTTGAGATTTGGTTATTGCGTTATTGGGTTGTTACGTTATTGCAGTTAACGGTTTTGTGATTTCATTTCATATCAATATGTAATAATTTTTACATTTGGTATAACCTCGTGTTCTTCTCTTATATTTTACAATTTTCAACAGTGTTGAGATTTGGTTATTGGAGTGCAGTGTGTATTGAATTATTTGGATCAATATTTTTTAAATAGGTAAGAAAATAATAATAGTAATAATAGCAGTTTTAATTTAACAACATTATTTGATAACTATTTAATTTTAATTTTGTTTTTTTTAACAAGTTAAATTGCTATCAACAGTACATCCTAAAACGTCTTCAAAGGAAAGTTATTCAGAATACACAAAGCAATGTAAAAACCAAAATTCTGTTTGGATTCATTTTTTAAGGGGATCAAAAAAACTAACAGCAAAATCTAAAATATGTTATGAAATAGTAAAAACTGCTGGTTCAACGACAGCACCGCAGCACAAGCATTTAAGAACAATACACAATATTAATGTATTAAAACGGGATGTCGTGCAAGATGAAGGTCTAGAAAGCAGCGCATCAAAAATAATGATTACAAACTATTTATTCAACAAAAAAGATGAATCACTTTCTGCAATCGTATCACAAATGTGTGCCTTAGATAATAAGCTATTCAAAGTTTTCTGTACGTCTATCAACTTGAGAAGTTTATTTTTGGCTAAAGGCGCTCAAGATTATGTATTACCAAAATCACCTAACTCGATTCGCAAAATGGTTTTAGAATACGCACAAAAAATGCGGGCTAAAATAATGCAGAATTTTATAAATTTAAAAGAAGATAGAACAAGATTTTGCTTAACTCTAGATGAATGGACATCTTCAAGAAACCGATGTTATTTAAATATGAATTTCCATGGCAAGAAATAGTTTTGAAATTTTGATGTTCTGTATAATAATTCGAATACAACTAAATTGGTGGCTCACACATATACAGAAAATGTTAGTTTAGAAGATCAAGTAAATGACTTTGATGAATCGGATTAGGAATACAATGAAGATGAAAAGATTGGCTTAATTAAACAAACTTATAATGAAGCAGAGCTTGTCGAGGCTGAAGAATTTGGATTTAGTTTTCTCATCAAAAAAGTTTGTTCAATTGTAAAGAAATTTTGTTTTTCGAGAACATCAAATGATATTTTTCAAGTATACATGAAAAAAGAATTTAGAAAACAATTGAAACTTATTATGGACACTAGAACTAGATGGAATAGCTTAGTCGAAATGCTTGAAAGGTTTAACAAGCTATAGAAAAGCATTGATTGTATTTGTATCTGATATCATTATTTAAGATGCTGAAATTTTGTGGATTAAAAACATTATCTCTGCGCTTCTCCCAGTGAAGCTTACTGTTGAAGCCTTTTGTCGAGAAGATGCAAATCTACTTTCTGCTGATGCAGCATTTTCATTTATGTTTGAGAATTTTGGATCTGATGAACTATCATTAAAATTAAAGAAAAAATTAGAAGACCAAATAAGCCAAAGACAAACTAATGTGTCTGGAACTCTTCAGTAATTACACAATGGGAGAAAAAGTGAGATTCACCCATCTTTCACTAGACCTTTGAAAAAAACAACAGCCAAAGTTATTGAAAACTTTGTACAAAGGTTGATATTTAATCTATTACTATTTACACTAACATGGAAACTTCCTCAGGCGAGCAGTCAGAAGCTGACGATGTGATAGAAGTGATGTTGGAAAAACAAACTAAGCCCTTAACATTAATGCAAAAATTGGAGAACATAATTCAATTGAATTTATTGCCAACATAATGTCCAACTTAACTCAACAAATTATAAATAGGAGCTTAATCTCAAAAATTAAATTTGAAATGAAATTCTTTGAAGAAAACGACGTTCATGGCAAAATATTAGAGTTCGTCTACTTATATTTGATTTTGACTTCGCCATCGAGCGAAGAGTCTGAGCAAGCCTTCTTAATTGCTGGTAACTTTTGTACAAAAGTTTGAACAAGACTCGGAGACGCAGCTTTAAGTGATCTCTGTTTTCTCAAGGCATATTTTAGGCAAATAAAACAATAATTTTATTTAAAAAATTATAAAAAAATTAATAAAACAGTATTTTTTTATTATAAAATGATATACCATATATAGAATGTTTCTATACTAATTGAATTTGATATAATTTTATGTTCCATTTTTATTTTTAAAGAAAGTATTTTCTTATGCTATAAATAACAATGAATTATCTCAAATAAGTTATTTTTATTATTTTTATAGACAAAAAAAATTTAAAATATTGTCAGAATTTGACCAAATTCCGAAAAAAATTAATATTGAATTCAGATTTTTTTATTTTCGTCAAAATTTGCATTCCCTATTTTCATCCTATTATTATGTTAATAACTTATATTATACTGAGATGACACAGATCAAATGTGAGAATTTATAGAATTATTTTTTATATATATATTTTTTAATTAAATCTAAATTATATTTTGAAGAAAGAATTTTAAAATTTAAAATTTGGAACTATACACTAATAAGCTTTTACTGTTTATACCTGTTTTTCCCTCTTGAAATATAAAATGTTAAGTTTAACTGTTAAAATCAAAAATTGGAATTCATACCCAGTGAGAATCTCATGCTCTGAAACTTGCAGAGTAGGTATACTATCCTTTGCATCATCTAAAATTTGAACAGCTTCTAATGATCTTGATCTTGTATCCCAACATCTTACTGTAGAATCATATGATCCGCTTACAATAATTGAACCATCTTGACTATTGAAACGTACACTGTTTACTCGCTATTAAAAAAATTTATTTAAAAAATGTTTTTAATAAAAAATTTTAAACGCTATTTAAATATATTTTTAATTAAACTCTATGAATTATAGTTGTTTATGCATAAGCAAGGTTTAAAAAAACGCATTGGTAAGGCGGTGAGGCTTACGCTTTTTTAAACCTTGACTATTGTCAAGTTTTAAAAATTTTTGTAAAAAGTGTACGCCTCATCGTTACGTTTTTTTAAACCTTGTGCATAAGAACAATCAAAAAGAAAGAAAATAAGATTTTAGCACACCATGACCTTTTTTTACTTTTAATTTAATGAGATTATAATCATAAAAAAATAAGCTTTGAAGGTTAAAATCATATCGTATCTGAAACAATGTTTCAGATACAATATACTTAATTTAAAGTATATCATAGTTATATTAAAAATTAATATCAGAAAGTCTATTTATAATTTTAGTAGTTTCTAAATATACGTTTTATATCAAAAGAACTTTTTTTAAATAAAAATTGAAGAGGATACTATTTTAACTTATTAGGTTAAATATTTGAAAGACTTTTTAACAGAATATACTCTCAACGCTTGTTTTTATGTCTCCACTTAACGTCTAGTTAGTTTAAAACTTTTTAGAATAAGGAATGTCAAAGAAATTTTTTTAAATAAATTAATATAACTAAATAGCAAAAAAATGATATTTAAAATATTTTGTTTTTAATGTTTTTTTAATGCTTTTTTATAAAAGAAAGAAATAATTTTCTTAAAACTTTTTTTATCTTTTTCATTTCAGACCTCAACTTTGACTGTGTGGCCCAAATCTGAAAAAAGCCTTGATGCTTTTGATGATGTCAACAGAGAATACTTTTTATAATCATTTTATTTTCACATTTTCTTTTACCTGTATTAAAGAAAAAAGAGAAAACACCATAAAAAATTAGAAAAAGAAAAGAAAACAATCAGAACTTTTAAAGAAATAAAGGCTCACATAACAAGGCTGAACAAAACAAACAGTTAATTCAAAAACAAGAAATTCTTGAATATGAATATAGGACAAAGAATCATAAAAATCAATTAAGCTAATCAAAAAAGCAATCAAAGTAATTTAAGTAAAATAAAAATTCAGTAAAGTGCAAATTGACTGCTTAAAAAGCTGCTTAAACCATGGGAAAAAAAAAGAAATATAAGTGCTTAAAAAAAAAAAAAAAAAATACTAACGAGTAAAAGTAATAAAAAATTATATTCTCAGGTTTTATGTCAGACCTAAGAATATATTGCATATTTTTATGAAAATATATAAACAATAGCTTCTTTTCACCTACACTTAAATGTCCTCTGTACTTGCGCAATACTTGCCCAGTTCCTACATCCCATAAAACAACAGTTCTGTCAGCACTACAAGATGTAACTTTGCTGTTATCTGCTGATGCATCACAGCCTAATACTTCATAACCATGCCCATTATAAGTCTTTAAAAGAGTACCTTTATAAGGATTCCAAAGTCGCAATGACTTATCGCTACCACATGTTAAGCAATAATCTCCATCTTTATTAAAAATTATAGCACGAGCCGACACTGCACCAGGATGCTTTAACTCAGTCTGTAAATGCACTGGAAAATCATCTGACATTGTTTAAAATACTTTCAACCATAATAATAAATTATTTATTATAAATACAATATAAAAAAAAGTAATTGAAAAAATGATATTATTATCTTACAGGAATTATTAAGCCTCAAGATAATTCATCCAAAGAAAAAAGAAGAAATTAATGAGCCAAGTTACAAGTTTTTTACTAAATTATTATATCTGTTCTTTAAAAATAAATCTTCTGAGTTGTCACAATAAAAATACTTAGTATTCTGAGTTTAAAAAATTGATACCAGAAAAAATGATATCATAAAAAAATATCCACATCTTGTTGTTGTGCAACTCAGAAGCAGCATCAACAAAAACAACTATAACAACATTTATTAACTTCAAAACAATCATAAAAATGATTAAAAATAATAATAAAAATAATAATAATAATAATAATAATAATAATAATAATAATAATAATAACAATAACAACAACAAAAACAACAATAATAATAATAATAATAATAATACTAGTATTATTAGTAATGTTAAAGGTTTATCATAGATTATTGTGAACTTTTTTAATACACTTAAATTATTCATAAAAACGAAAAAGGAATTAATACTAAGTCCATATGGAACAGTTTTCTTTAGGAAAGTTTCCATTTACTTGAACAACTTTTTTGTGAATTCTGTTGTGAGTAACTATGATTCTGTGTGATGACTGTTTTATTCTGTTCTTTAAAATAAAATAAGAAAACTAGCATAAATCATCAAAACTGCTGAATTTATCGTTCCTCGCGGCATGACGATTTCTCAAATAAAACACCTTATTTGAAGAAATATTCACTAAGAGTAAGTAATATGTATAAATTAATATTATATTGATTTATACATATTACTTACTCTTAAACATTTAAAATGTTTATTAAAAAGTTTATATTGAATATATAACTTCAGTGAAAAGTTATATATTGAAGAGTGGGAGTAAATGAGATCTTCAGATATAACTTACTCAGTAGAAAAATATTAAATAAAATAAATTCACTTTAATGGGGAAATTTTTTTAATAAACTTTTTGAATGTTTTTTAAATATTTGATGGGGAATTTTGTAAATATGTTATGGGGAAATTTTTTTAATAAATATTTTAAATGTTTTGTAAATATTTTATATCCGTTCGATCCCAAAAATAAAATGTATTTTGTCGACTATAACCACGAAAATAGAACATAACGTTTTTTTAACCGCAGAGCATAGCGGGACAAAATAGCCGAATTTGAAAAATAAATGCTATTATTTCATTAAACCATGAAGAAGTTCATCGAGAAAAATGGGTCACTAGACAAAAAACAACAAAATTCATTGAAATGATTTTTATTAAAACATCAAAAAATAAATTATTCTCGGGATTTGCAGCAAAGTTTGAACCATTAGTAATTGCAATTATTCAGCTTTTTTATTGAAATTCGGTCATTAAATAGAACCGTGTGATTTTAAAAGCATATGTTAGTTTAATTTTCTTTTCTTGCTTCAAGTTATACCAGCAGTTAGTTTAAGTTTTTTTTCTTGCTTCAAGTCACACCAGTGGCGGATTGAGGTTTAGTGTCGCGGGGGGGTTGCTAAGTCAATGAATTGGGGGCGACCAGGATTGGGCGTGGTATTTTAAACCCCGGAAATTATTTTTATGACTAAAACACTTTATAAGTGTTTTTATGTGACTTTTATTATATATATTAAATACACATAAGACACTAATTTTTTTGAGTTTCCTTTGTTTAATTTAGTTAACAATGATCTTTTATAAAATAAGAAATATTTAATATTACTGAAATAGTTAGATCATTTAAAAATGTATTAAACTAGATATATTAAAGAAGTTAGCATTTCGGAAAAAAAATTCACTTTTCAGGTAGTTTACACAAATTCTGAAAGGTTTCATTGAAGCAAAACGATTTATCGACAAGTCAAAGTCAATGTTTTCAGCAAGCTCACGTTCAATAGAAATTAATGCTGATCCAGAGCGACAAGTAGATTTTCTAAAGTATAGATAAGTTAGGGTAACCGGGTGCTATCTGTTTCCTAATCAAGAACTGAAATACATCTTTCAATAGTATGTCAGTTGTCAGTGATGGGAATACCGATGCATACACATCATTGAAAGTCTCATACTCTACGACTGCTTCTTCATTATTTACGTCGTTACAATAAATTTGATATAATTTTTTTAATGAATTTGTATTTTCTTCAGAGAAAATATAAATTCATTTATATTTTCTCTGAAGGAAATTTGACAGATCAAGGCAATAAAAATGTGTAACTGTGTTACTAAAGTTGTGAAATTGTTTATTTATTTGAGTTATGTTTGTATCCAAAACATTAAAGTAGGTTTCAAATTTTAGGCGTGTAGTTAGATCATCAACTCTTTCATCTCTCCATAGATCTCCTGTCATGTGTTTCTTTTTGGCTGGATGTTAGGCTAACTGAATTTAAAGAAAGACAAGTTTTCTTTAAATTCAGTTTTTACATCTACTTCGGCACATTTTTCACTAATAAATGAATTTTGACTGCTAAATCTAGAACTTTAAAAGCTTCATAGTTTCTCATATCTACAAACTTTTTTTTGTAACACCAATCAACTGTTTTGCAAATACAACATCTATATCTTCTCATTGCAAATAGTTAGATATTGCAAAAAGATTAATTAACAATTTTGGCAAAAATAACATTAGAAAAACAAATGAATGTTTTTTTTATTAAAACTGTTAGCCCAATATCTTCTTCTCTAATATTTCCTGTATGTTCTTTAGATTCTCCTAGATTTATATCTTCTAGAGTGGCTAGAATAGCTAAAAAAGATTCAACACCAGTATCAACTACATGCTTCGTACTTGCTCATCTTGTATCAGAAAGTCATTTTAGAGTGTGAATAATAAAAATTACATAAGCACCATCATATGCTTGTCCTCTGCAGAGTTCAATATTAATGTTTCAACAGGAAATATTTTAAAACCTCTGTTTTAAAATAATTCCTCTCTCTTTTCATTTGTACTTATTTTTATTCTTTTCATTTTGTTTTTCATTGGTAATTTGAATTTATATATATAATTTTTTTTGAATGTTTTAGGTGGCGCTGTTTGATCATTCTATACTAAATCCGCCACTGCATAACACGATATTTGTTTCAAAGACAAATAAAACAACTTTTAAAAAATCAAAAAAATTGTTTTCTAAATAACTAAAGTTTAAAGTTTTACTAGCTGTATATCATAACTCCATTCATTCTTGTAGTACTCCATTCATTTAATATGAAGTTTATAAAAAAGTTGATGTTTGCCGTTTCGTTGCGCCATTTTTAATGTTTTTCTGGAATATTATTAGCGAACCTTCAATATACCACAGTCATAGTATTGAACTAGTCATAGTATTAAACGCGGGCCGTTTCTATAGATTTCGTAAAATAACTTGAGCTTTAAGGGGTGACCGGACTGAGAGTGCATTGTAATAGAATATCACCGCACCTTAGAATATCACCGCACCAGTAGAAATAATGAAAACGAGGATGCGTTTTGAAGTAATAGAACTTAGTAGAGTACCGAGTACGTCCGAATAATATAAGAACGTTCAAAAAATGTTGTTTTTTAACAAACAATATCTAGCATGTTGGTTTTTTAACAAAATACTTAGGTGATGTGATATTCTAAAAATATAATAGTGTATTTCTAAGCTTTGTGAAGGTGATGTAATATTCTAACATTCTAAACCCTATCTACGATATTGTTTTTTAACAAAATATATGGGTGATGTGATATTCTAAACATATATAAGTCTATTTATAAATTTTATTAAGGTAATGTGATATTCTAACATTTTAAGCACTATCTAGTATGTTGTTTTTCAACAAAAACATGGGTGATGTGATATTCTAAACGTAATAGTGTATTTCTAAATTTTATTAAGGTGATGTAATATTCTAATATTCTAAGCACTATCTAGTATTAAGTACGTGAGTAAAAATTTCAAACTGTTTGATTACTATAATGTTATATACAATTATAAAGAGGATTATTACAGTATTTTAAAGGTGAAAAAATTATTAAAATCGAACAACAGGTTCAAAAGTTATGACGGTTTAAGTACCGATTTTCGATATATGGATTTGTTAAAGAAACTGTGCTCAAAGTAATGTTTTTCTTTATTTAAACTGTCATAACTTTGTCAATTCTTATCGAAAAACAAATATCTTGGCTTCAAAAGATAGTTGTAAGAGTGGGTTACAATTTTATGTTAAACTCTAACCACCGGGCGTTTCGGATGGACAGAGGGGCACCAAACCACCACCATGCCGGTATGAAACCGAACACTTTTTTCAGAAAAAAAGTTTTTTTTAAGACATAAGCAATATAAATATTGTAACATTATAAAATGTAAGTATCAAGTATACAAAAATACAACTAACAAGAAATAATATTGTTAGACAACAATCTACATAAGCATAATAAAGAATTGTATTAGAAAACTAATAGTAAATGACTAAATACTAAAATATTAAATCATATAATAGGGATATAACTGACTGATCTTCTCTAAAGCAACTTAATCTAAACAAAAATTAAATAAACTTTATTTTTACAAAGTAATATAAAAATTTACAAGGTAATATAAAAATATAAAAATAGCATCTATATAATAACTACTACGCTATTGAATACAGAAAGTAACTAACTGATTTTGTCGGCTGCACTACAACTTTGAGCATCTAAAACAGTGAAAGAAAAATTTAAGTTATACATAAAGGTTTAGATGGTGGCCAGATAATTTAAAAACAGTTTGATAAATTTATATTGAAACAACTTATTCACAAAGATATTCCTTATTAAATAAAGACAACGTTCAAACTTCAAACTAGATATAATTCATCACTAATTTGATTCGCATCTAATTCTTATTATCAATATGATATGAAATGCTAGGTGAAACCTTTATTTTCTTTCTCCGTTTGATTTCTAAATGAAATATAAAATCCAAGTCTTATTTTATTATTTACTAAAAATCGTTTTATTAAAACAATTTCTCTTAAATTTACAAATTTTTTAATTAAATTTTTATTCTAAAATATATAGGTTTACAATATCAATTTATGACATAAGTCAAATATTGCTAATGCGAATGCTATATATGTAAAATAAATATAAATAAAAATAATCAATGGACCCCTCTGTCTCCCGCGCCAACATCAGGTAAAATGTAATTTAAGTAACAAAAGTGCAGCAAGAAATAAGGTGACTGCTACAAAATATTTTTCAACGAAATTTGGCAGGTGCATAGATAAATGAATAAAGTTAATAAAAATTGGATAGAAAAAAAAAAGACTATATCCTGGACATTAAATTCACCACAGAAGTACAACTAAAATTTTGACATCAATAAACTCGTTAATAAATTAAGTGAGTATAATTAAAAATAAATCGAACTAATACTTCAACTATTCTTCTTTCTAAAAATAATCTATATTGATAACAAATACTTAAAAGTTATTCACAAAGCCTTCCTCAAGCACACTAACTTTGAAGATACTACGAAAAACGTGGCACAGAATTTTAGCACAAAATTCGGTTCCGTAAAACGCGATACTCACGTACCTACTAGTATGTTGCAGATTTTAACATCCCTCAGAATTAGGCCGTATTTTTCGGATACCGGATTGTTTTTTATTTTTAAATATTGTCGCTTTAGCGGACTCTACGTACTAAGTCATAAGGATATTAGATTTTTTATTAATTTAAGTT